AGAAGTGGCATGTAAATTTTTTTGATTTTTTTTTTTTTTATTTAGCTGTAGACTGATTATTAATGCTGTTTGACACGAAAGGGATAACTTTTTTTTGCATGATTTTTTAATACAGTGTAGTGCTACATTTTGTTTTTGAGATTTTATTTGGGTAACTCAGTGACAGTTATAAGTTGCATATGAATAATCACACAGGCTTTTCACAATTGCGTTACTTTTGAGATTTTTTTTCATTTTTTAGAAGCCAAAGGGGCTGGTAAAGGGAAGTATCTGGATGAAAGGGAGCTGTAAGTGCTGGTGGTCAGTTTGTTGGTTTTTCTTAAAGTATAAAAATAGTAAATCAAGGACGAGATTTTAGTTTAACATTTTTAGTAGGGTATTTATCAATTTTTCTTTATGAACAGACCCTTGGATTGGTATTTTGGTGGCTTGATGATGGAAACGGTTCTAACTTTTTATGAATTTTTTCTGTTTTTTAGACTTTAATTGAAGCCAATACTGCTGTAAAAACTTCAGACGGTTATCTCCTGAGGTTGTTTTGCATTGGCTTTACCAAAAAATGCCAAGGGCAGATGAAGAAAACTAGTTATGCAAAAACTTCGAAGATCAAGTCAATTCGCGCGAAGATGATTTCACACATACAAGCGGAGGTTGGTGTACTGTCGTAGATATGCCAAGTACTTGGATTTTTTTGTTACAGAGGGCAACAGTGAATTACTTGAAAGGGTCTTAATTTAGTTATATGGATTGAAAATTTTTTATTACAGTTTTAACTTTTTGTGCATTTGCTAAGTATTTCTTTAGATAGATTCTTTATGGATTGGTTCTATTTCCTTCAGAAGGTTGTTTTCGATGCTGCGGTACAGCAGTATAAATATTCAGTTTTAACGGGGTTATTTAAGCTGAAATAACGTTTAGGTTCAAGGAAGTGACCTTCGCGAATTATGCAACAAGCTGATTCCTGATTCCATAGGCAAAGACATTGAGAAGGCTTGCTCATATATTTATCCTTTACAAGATGTATACATAAAGAAAGTGAAAATATTGAAAAAACCAAAGTTTGATCACAGTCGGTTAATGGAGATGCATGGTGATATCGGATCTCACACAAATCCAGAAGGGGAAAAAGTTGATCGACCTGACGATTATGAGCCGCCCGTGCAAGAAACTGTTTAAGTATGATTGACAATGTGGTCGTTGTTGTTTGTTAAAGTTGGATTGATGTTGCGATAAACTGATGCGTTGTTTGCAGTATTCTAACACTTTCAAAATTGAACTCAATTTTCTGATTCCTCTCTAGGGTCGGTTTTTTTGAAGCCTGCTTAAAGTTTAGTGGTGCATGAGCAGCAGAATCGTCTACATGTAGAATACACCAGTCATTTTTCGTACTGTTTTTACAATTTTCAATCTTTACCGTCTTTTTTGTGCTAGGTCTAGTCTGATATCAATTTTTTTAAGTCAAGAGGGTTGTGAAGGGTTCTTTAGTTTTTTTTTTCTTTGGAGGGGGGGGGGGAATTTGTATTGTTTATAGGGGGGTTGTTGGCTTTGCTGGATTAACTTTAATGTCACAGACCAGCTAGCTATAAAAGAGCTACTGATGTTTCAAGGTTTCAGGTACTTCTTATTTCTATGAGGAAACAGGGTATCAGGTTCCAGTTTGTAGTATCTAGTTAAAGAGTTTTTACAGACACTTGTGGGTTTAATTATTTTGCAATAATTTCACTGGTTCGATGGACAGTTGCAGGCAATTTGGGGACAATGCGTTTTTGCAACGAACTGGCCGATAGTTTTTGACCTAGTTGGAATGGCAGTTCATTGTGCATGTTCAGTATATCTCGGAGGCGGATGTACAAATTAAAATTAGGAACTAATCGCTTGCATTTGTGTTAATTTGGGGACAACTTGTGATACTATTAGCGGGTTGTTGAAAAAAGGTGAGGATGGACGTGAGAAGTCTTGAACTTGAATGGCGAAGTCAGGTTTGGTCGATAATTAGCAACCATTCAGTGTTGGCTTGTGAAGCCGTTTACCTCGTACAACAGTTTTGTTGGGGGGAAACGAAAAGGCTATCATTGAAAAACATAAGGAAAGGCTGTTGTTTGGCTAAAGGGTAGTTTGAAGAAATGAAGAATGTTTGATGGGCTGCACTGAGTGAGTGCTGCGACGGACAGCAGGTTAGGTTGTTTTTGTAATGTACAACAAACTTAAACACAGTGTTCAATGGCCGTCCTTGGCCGGCCAGTTTTCCAAATGCAGTTTCTCCTACTGGTTTGCCTTATTCCTATTACTTGGTATTATTTTTATATTCGTCATTTTTCAGTTTAATTTTTTAAGAAGAACTCAGCCACATAAATTTTTTTAATTATAGCAAGGTTCCCTCTTCACCTGTATATCAATGAACAATTATTTTAATTGTTTTATGACGAGAACTCTTGCTTCTTTTTTTTTTTTTAAATTAAAAAACAGATTATAAATGGAATAAAAATTTCGGTATGCAACAGCAATACGTTTCAAACCTTTGTCTTGGATTATGAAAATTTCTAAGTTTTATAAAAACAGAAATTACACTTTTAAAGTATCAATATTTGAAAGTTCGTTACTGTATCTGTCTCGCTGTAACTTTAAATTTGATATTAAATAAATTTTTTTTTGTATTTTTGAATATCAACATTTTATGTTATTTAGTAATTGAGTCGAACAAAAGTTTTAAGTAGACTCCAATTACAAAACAATTTTTCAAAAATAATTATTAATGAAGCCTCTAGGAGCCTAGAAATTTGGCTAAATCTGTGACATTTACAGTGCACAATGTCCATTTGGATACGGCAAAAAGAAGTCCCAACCGGCACCATCAAGTCCTCCAAGTCCACCGTCAATAAATCCAAAAGAGACGTTTATTCAAAGCACTTTTATGCATTTCGATAAAACAGGTTCCGCTTTTTTGATCTTTTACAACAAGCTTCTTCAGAAAATGAACGTCGTTTTAGTGAAATTGTCAAAAATGTTCTTGAGAGAGTACGAGAATCATTGAAGAAACGAGTGCATTTAAATATTGACAACGAAAATGTTGGTTTTTCGTTTTGTTCCCTACGGTTTCAGTTTCTTTTTTTTCTCGTGCTATTTACATTTGCTTTTAAACTGTTAGTATGAGGATCAAACTAAGGTTACGCGATGAAGTTTTGACTTTAACAACCCAAAATTTCAGATAAATTGCTCTGAAGGTCACGTCAAATGTGATGAATACGTCGCTGTTGATGGTTTTCATCTTTTATTAATTGAAGAAACGTTAGCTTCAATTTCTGTCTCCTGATCTAACATTGAAAAATTCAATATTTATAAGTTCTAGGAGCAGTGAGATCTAAGAAATCAATACCATGGTTGTACAGTCTAGTTAAGTGTACAGCCTGACCGTTTCAGGAACGGCGAGCCGGCGGTCTATACCATCAGTTCAGAATTGAACAAAAACGATGGTGCTGTTGAAGCAGCTTTGCTTGAGTATGCCTGCGTTTATCTTCTAAATTTTACTCAAATTCTTGGAAGTATCACTTTTTTGGTTCAAGTTTGATGCGAAAGGGACAGATTGCAGTAGTTTCTTGTAAATTGAAATTTTGACTTGTGAGACAAATTGTTCGAAATTGTTGTGATAATTTGGTCGTTCCAGACTCAGTCTGTTTCAAATGCAAGTAATATTTCAGTGCCTTTTCTCGCCACAGTCATCATGACCTTACCAGATATGCAAGTGAAGATGCCGAAAAAGCAGTTGGTTTTATACGAAAACTGTCAACAAAGGTTTCTTTTTGAATGTTCTGTAGTTCTGGCTGTTGTGTCGATAATAATTGGAAAAAAAGTATAAAATTGAGCAACTGTAGAATGTGTCTTTACTGTAAAGCAAGTCAATGTTTTAAGGAGCTTACACGATTACGGCGAAGGAAACCGAAGAAGAGTGCTGCCATTTTTTCACCGATTGAGCTTGATTTAATCGATCAGTCTATCCTGGAGTACCGATCATTTACCGAGCCAGAAGATTATCGTGGTTTGGAAAAGTTGAATGCAAAAAGCGTTATGAAATCAATTATTGCTGATAAAATTTCATTTGTTCTTTATTGGAGTAACGGTAAACATTTAAATTTTTCACTTCTAATTACACTGTAGGTTCTCTTTTAAATAACTTTAATTTCTTTCTTCATACTCTTTTGATGAAGAATATTTCAGAAAATTATTGCTGCAAAATGATCAATTTTCTCAGGTAACAGTGTAAGTCAACATGTCTTTTATTTGTGGTCGAAATCGGCAGAAGTGTTGAAAAAAAGGTATCCAAATGTGTCATTTGGCGCTTTACCATGTCATCAGGAAACAAGGATATGCGACAATTTTGATATAACAACTTTCGAGATGAGGACAATAATAGCTTACAAAAGTGGTCGTCGCTACAGTTCAACATCAAAAATCGGCAATCTTTGGTACTACGTCGACTGGGCATCTCTGTAAGCTTAGTTATACGCTTAAAAAGGAAATTCGTAATATTTTTATAGCTGCAAGTAGTGAACGGAGTTTGGCTTCTCTAGTTTTTACCGTTTAGTATAAGTTGTTTTTTTTACCAGCTTAAAACAAACTTAAAAATAGTAAACCAATTTTCAATTGTGATATAGTGACGACAAAGAAAAATTAGATGGAACGGAAAATTTTACAGTTATTTTTACAGTTCTCAAGTTTAAAAAATTTTACAGTTCTCAAATTTATATTTTCTTGTTACAGAGTTCTAACTGGAGGCCTTATTGAACTGAAAGAAGAAGAAGATGTGAAAAAGGCAAAAAAAGGTTTTTTAAGTCATACTGATATCATTCTATGTCATAAATTTTTGATGAAGAGTGCATAGGTTTCATAGTTCCCAAAATAACCACTATACTAATTTTTTTTTTACTGAAAAGTACTGTCATTATAGAGTAATATTGCTAAAATTATTTCCCAAATAAATTTCTTTGTTTGCAGGCACAATAAAACAGTTTAGCAAAATAGTGTCGTCTTTAACAATAGGGTTTTTTGACAGTGAAGATTGTGAAGAGTACCAGAATTACACTGAAGTCGCAACAATCTTAAAAGGACGATATTATTTATGCTATTTCATAAAGAAAGGGTAGGGCCATTAATAGATTACTTCTTTACGACAAAAGAATGAATTTCTCAGCAAGTTGGTTGACTAGCTGTTAGTTGTACTGAAGATTACTATTATAAGATCTTTGGGTGTTGAGAATGACCAATTTTATTGGTATTATTGAAGTACTAATTTTTGCAGATCATCTCCGACACTGATGACAATAAGACCAACTGAAAAGCTTAAAAGAATAGATTTCAAAAATGCTTTTAAAGTTCAAGATCTGGCTCACTTCATCTCAGTATCATCATTTCCATCTGTTGTCAGTATTTTTAATAGTTAATCTAGAAATTAGAATTTTGGGATCATTGTTGCAGACTTTTTCGACTTTTTTAATTCTGTAATGTAGCGGTTACTTCACAATTGGTTTCAATTATTTAATTAATACTTTATGTAAGTTCTTATTCTTCACTCTCTAAGCATCTTGCAGCTGGACATTTCTGACGGCTTTACTCCTGGATTACTTCAAAGAAGTGATCAACTGCTGACCTTTATTATCACAGCAAAGACTAGTACAGCTGCATATTCAAGCTGGTGTCAACGAAATCCAGCGTATTTATGTACTAAAATAATAAAGTTTGTTCCCGTTATGTAATAAGTGCTTTTGAGGTTGAGGTTTTGATAATATGACCGTTGGTTGAGAAACTGTTAAGGCGTCTATTTTCAAAACATTGAGGATCTGTTCTTTTTAAATGGAGGGTTTTATTGATTCCAAAACTAATATTCATCTAAAGTTTTCCATGTAATATCACAAATAAAAACAAAAAAAGCTTATTAAAACTTGATGGTCAAAATTAAGGGAGCAATGTGAAGCATTGAAAGAGGTGATGAGGAACCTTAGGATTGAAGAAGACGCATTCAACTTATTACTGCTCAAAAAGGTATTCTTATACAAAGTAAATAAGACCTTTATTGTTCATAAGCGTTAAATTGTTCAGTGAAAAATTTTCAAATTGAGACTGTCTACTACAAATGTGAGTTATTATCAGCTAAAATAATTTTTTTGGCACTGTTTTTTGCAGAACAAAGTCTATGCTACATTAATCAAAGAACCGTTTGACGAACGACAACTGCAGAACCAAATTGAAGCTTTTGCGAAAAGTAAACCAACAGGTGTCTTTGCATAAAAATAAATTTTTGCTTTTTTTTTTTTATTTTATATTACTATAATTTCCCTACAGAAGTTTTTAGTACAAAATCTTTTATAATTTTGAAAAATTAATGTTAGAATGATTTTAAAATAGATTAGCTCTGTCGTCTGAATTTCTTTTATTTTGAAGACTTAAACAAACATTAGCATATAAAATTTCATGCAAAAGCAGCAATTCTGTATAGTCGTTTTGTAATAATGGGGTAAAATTTTTAGGTGAAATAAAAGAAAATGCCGTTTATCCATTTCGGTACTTGCAACTATCAAAAATAAACCGCATCTTTGGCTATCAGGAAACCATACTTTTGCCAGAGCCAAAACTTGTTAAAAGTTATACGAGTGTAAGTTGTAGTTAGAACCTCTGTTTGTTTTTTTAATTGCTAAGAGCTTTAATTGTATTTGAGTTTCTTCTGCTGTAGAACAGTCTTAAATGGTAGTGCCGCTATATTATTTGCTTGTTTTGTACAGTTGGTGTTCTAGGAGGACGGCATAAGTGAGGTTAGACGGAAAGATACTGGCGGATGCCCGTTTATGAAAGCACAAGCACAGAACAATTTTAAAGATGAACTCTGAAGAATAGACAGACGATGTTCAACGATACTAAAGTTACAGTGTTATTACTCATCATAGAGGAGAAGTTTTCAAACTGTTTTTAGTTTTTAAAAAGCTGTCACTTTATTGTTCTTTAGTTGCTTTGATCGAACTGACTCTTGTTATCGATTCTTTCCTTTCTTAATTTTCAAATTAGTTAACTGTAATTTTGTCAACAACAGTACTCACTGATTGGTAAAGCCTGTGCTCTTCACATGTATATGAATGAATCAATTCATAGTTTGACGCTAACTTTGTACATTTTAGCAGACTGACATTTAAAGACAGTAAAAATTCTTACAAGAATTTCGCTTTACGGTACTGATTTGGTGGTGCTTATCATACCCTAACCCGTCTTTACAACAACAGCTCTGTGCAAAATAGCACTTCGTTATACAAATTTTTTGCCGACATTTAGGCGATATATACTGCTGCCGTCGTCAGTGATTCATCAATATGTGATGAAAACTGCACCTACAGGCGTGTTTTAGGAAAAACAATACAAAGTTTTGAATCTTTGACTTTTGGCGCATCAGCAAAAAACATTTGAACGTCTAAAAGAACTGTGAAACTACACAGCTTTTTGCATATTCCATATTTTCCTAGCGATAAAAAGGGTCGCCGAATAAGTTCGGTTTTTTAAATTTTCATTCCTTTTTTTTTTTCTTCTTCACTTTTAATTTTTTATTTCACAGACAAAGGTATAAAGATATTCTTGCATCATATGAGGTCATGCAACAAAAAAAAAAAGCACGCAAGCCTTATCGTCTAATGTCTACGTTATCAGTACTGATCAGTGTACAGACTCTATATAAGTTGTTTTGGCAGTGAATAAAACATCAGAACTTATTTTCTGTGTTTCTCAAACTGTTTACTGTTGCTTCTGGAATACCCTTGTCACTTCAAACTCAAGAACACTTTCTTTCTACTGATATGTTTAGAATAAACTATTCTTTTCTAGTTTTTAATTGTTGCTACACTGTACCGATAGATGACTGTAACAGTAATCGGTGAAATGAAAAGGCAAATTTTTGGATACTGTAATGAAATATTTACTCTTCCGCTATATTTAAAAGCAAAGTTACCAGTTTCTTATTTTCAAAAATTTCTTAACATTTGGAGGAGCCACCTCTGGAAGGGTTAGACAAAAAAATTGAATGAACTATAAACAGCAGAACTTTGAGGGAGTATATGTATGCAGAAGTTGTAACAAATGATTTCTCGAGAATTTATTCTAACGCTATTAAAGTTGTTCGTAACTCGTAGAGAGCTCAAGAATTGAGTTTCCTTGTAACTTTTGGTTTAAAGGTACCGTTTGTAAAAGATGTATTGGAAAACTTGGATCTCTGCTCTATCCCTAACAATATTAGCAGTGTGGTGCACCGAAGCTGCAGTACACCAATTAAAACTATCGTTAGATTAACATTTCATTCTATTTTTTTCTGTTACAACTGTAAATTTTTCAGAAATTCTTATTTTGCGAACAACAAAGTTAATTTTTATGTCTTTCTGAAATAGCTAGTTTTATCTAACAGACGTAACCTACCTAGTCTAACACTTAATTTGTTATGATTTATGAAAAAATGTTTTCATTTAATCTTTTTCGCACATCCCAAAAAATTTAAAAAATTATATGTTTATCTTTCTTTCAATACGAACAGATTTAAAAATTAATTTTCCTTATATTACCCCTAAGTTTGTTAAGTCATTCAAAATAATTAAAAATACATTTAAATATGTCTTTCGCAAATAATAATTATAAAATATAAAAACTGTTTATTCGCTTATTACTATCAATCAAGCTATGAGCTATCTAACTGAGAGAAAATAGCCTCTTGAAAAATTTTATATTAAAATTGAAAAAAAAAGCTGACCTTATTCTGGAATACAGTTACCACGAAACAAAAGAGCTGCATTAATAGAATGATGGTCGATCAATCAACAATTAATAACATTTAAATGATTAGCTTATATTACTTTAAAGTCATCATTTTCTAATTTTCTTCAGCAATTTTAAAGACAACATTCACTAGCAGAAAATTTTTTTTAGTTATGTACCGCCGATAAGAGAACGGGCTTTCCGAATGGGAAAGTTGAAGGAATATCTAGCTGAAAAACGTGCTCTACAAAGCATCAAAAAAGCAGCTTCTGAAAATGTTGTCGACTTTGATGACTTA